GTAAGATTCCTCAAGGGAGGAACAACCTAAGACAGGCACAGTCGCAGGGGGGCCATCAGGTGAGAAATTGGGGATCAACAGAGGTGAGGCTCAGAACCTCATCCCCCCTGCTTTGAGAGAAATCTTCTGCATCCGTGGATGTTTTGCTGCCCTTGTCTAGCTTGGATTAATAGTTAGTCCATAGGCACACACCTGATCATCTACATTTGCCCTCTTACAGCACTAAACTATGTTTTCTACCTTTATCTTGCATCTACCTACCACTTTATATGTGGGATCAACATATAAATCAGGTATAAAAATCAAACGAATATTCATATTTGACCTGATTGTTTATAGTTCATAATGCGTGATAGAAAACCGAAAGTTTTTGTGATGACTGCCCTTGTACTGTTCACCATGTAAGAATTTATTCACTATGTAAGAATTCGTTCACCATGTAAGAACTTGTTCGTTATACTTCAGAAGATTGGAGACTGACGAGAATTAGGCTGGAGATGGATTAATGATTGTACATTGAGCACTGACCCCCCTATACTGAATTTTATTTTTGTTAACAACCATTTGATCAATAAATATGAGAGATGCCCTCTCAAAAAATAAATAAATAAATAAATAAATAAAGTCACCTCTCCTTCCTTTGTTCAGCCTGTCTCAGGTTCTTTTCCATGCAGTACACTATCCTTACAAAGGGAGAAATTAAATACTCCTTACTAATATCCTGTCCATCAAAAACAAGGAAATCATATAAACCTCAATTTTCTAACTACCTTGAAAGTAGGCATTTTCACACACTTTAACTAATTCCCTGAAAACTAAATGCAGAAAAGTAAGTGGGTTTCCAGGAATAGAGATAAATAATGTGATAATATGCTGTCATCCTGAATGAAGTCTCATCTCTAAATTTCCAAAACTCTAGAAGTAAAGTTGGGCAATCACTAATTATGTCAATGACTGAAACAAAAATGGATCTTTAAACATTAGCAGAAAGATACCTTTCTTGTATATGCTGCATTCCAAGGGGTGAATATACATACCTGCTTGGATCCTCCACGCGGGGCTTCTGCAGCGTCTGATTGAGCTGGAGAGAGGAGAGGAACCTTTCTGTGGGCCCAGCATCTGGGGAATCCAGCTGTAGCTCTGGCTTCTGGTCAATGGCCTTGCACACCATGGCCAAAGCAGCCATACTCATGACTCTCTGAATTTGTGTACGAAGTGTCGGCTCCTGAGCAAGAAACAGAACAATCTTTCATTTCACATAAGCAAACTAAGGGCCTTAGTTCCCAGCCTGTGAATTAGTACTTCCCAACCTTTTTTTACTCACATCATGCCAGACACGACATTCCTAGGGTGAGTCTTATTTTAACTGTCTAGCTGAAGGATGTTAGAAAAAAAGACTCCAGACATTTATATAAATAACTCCTGCAATCAGCAATGTGCTGCTTTTAGAAAGGTGACACAGCAGAGCAGGTAAGAGAGAGAGAGACTCATGAACTACATGGCCTAGGTCAGAGTCCTGGCTCTGCACTTCCTGCCAGTCTGACTGTAGGTCCACAGTTCACCTTAGTTTTCACGTCTGTAAAATGGGGACAGTAATTGAATCTACTTCACAGGGTTGTTGTGACCACTAAATAAATGGGTTATTTCACGTGAAGCACTTGGAACCCTTCATGTAGGAGCACAAAGGAAGAAGACCAAGAGAGGCCACCTTCATAATTCTGAGAGAAAATCAATAATCGCTAACCAAAAAGCCATGGGCGCAGTGCAGGCAAGAACCTAGACCTAGAATCCAGCTCAGTGGGAGATCAGAGCAGTTCCCCCAAACATTGCCAACCAGTTAACACCTGCCAGAAAGGAACATCCTACTACTTACTGCATGCCTTCCCTCATTCCCAATAAATCAAGCACCTCTACAGATAAGTTTTACATAACAACATTACCAACATAGGAAATAAAATTTAGTGTTACTTTTGGGCCAATATAGTTCCTGTTCATTTTAGTGTAGTTTACTAGATTACTAAAGAAAGCAAGCCAATCTTTGAGAATTACTGTGGTATGGTTCATCATTTTGGTATATATCACAATGTCCTGTCCTAATGCAAACATACAGATGTGTACTAGCCAGGATGTTGAAATATTAATCAGTCCTCTTAGCATTTCCGCTTAGGACAGTTCTTGAAAACTACTTTAAGAATTATATTATTAAAGCAATCAAGTGGTTTCTTTGTTTTAATTAGCAGCCCAGACTAGACCATAATTCAGCTTAACTTTATTAAACACTTAATTGCTAAACGAAAACAGCTAACTAACACTTATTGAGGACTTTCTAGGTAGCAGGCTCTGTTCTAAAGGGTTAACATGTATACACTTGCTTTAGTTCTCACAATAACCCTTTAACCCTCATTTTGCAGGTGTGGTAAATGAGGCATAGTAATTTCCACAAGGTCACACAACTTGCACATATAAAGCCAGGATTCAACCCAGGAATGCAAACCAAAGCCATGCTCACAGTCACTGCACCTCATTGCATCACATTTAAGAGATGCCTCCAGGCATTAAGTTTAGTGGAGAAGATGTATGCACATAAAGTATTCCCAAAACAAGGAAGATGGAGACAAACACTGTAGTGGAGGTGGAATGAACAGTAGACAAATGAAGGAAGGAATGAGGTGCTGATCCCAGAAGAGCACTGGAAGAAAATGTGAGTAGAATCGGGCCAAAGGATGCACCTAGTGCCAAGCGAAGTGGAGGGTGGGCCTTCTCAGGAAGGGCAGACAGGATGAAAGCCTAGAGGGGGAGCTACAGGGCACTGGCTTGAGATCTGGGAAGCCCTACAAGGTGGCCTAGAGGGGGCAGCAAGGGGAACACTGTGGAAAGAAGAGGACAGGCAGTGGACCACTGAGCAGAAAGTCAAGTATGGAGAGCTCTGGATGCCAGATTGGTGAATGTGGACACATTAGAGTCTCTTACTGGTACACGGACAGGACTTAGTGCAGATCCACTATCTATATCTAAATAACTTTAAGATTGAAGCTACCACACCTCTGTTATATACCTAACATTATGACAGGAGTCCCAATCTCCATCAGAGATTATGAACACAGGACTAATTTCAAAACTAAATTTCAGCAGATGCTTGTTATTATATCAAATAGTTTAGGATAATCAAATAGTATTCCATGTATGTCTTATTCAACGTAACTACAAGCCTTGAATCAAAGATTACCTGTCCACTGTCCATCTCCTGAAGATGCTGAATGGATGCATTTTTCAAAGGAGAAATAACTCTCCAAATGGGGTTACCTCTTTTCCACCCAATCTTCAAATGGAGATTTATAAGCTCAGTTAATATCATCAGGTATAAATGGCAACGATCTAGATCTGAAACCTAAGACAAAAAATTAACAAGTAGTGTCCAAAATTTTCACAAAATTACCAGAGCTCAAACAGAAATAAATTTATTTAAAAGTATAAAACTAAGACATTAATGAGAGAAAAGGTCATTTCCTCCAGGAAGCCTTCATAATGCCCCCTGCAGAGTTACGGCCATCCTTCTCTGTGCTTATACAGTGACTGCATTTGGCACAATTCACTCATTTGGCTCCCCACTTTATTTATGAGACCCTGGAAGGCAGAAACTATGTTCTACCAATTCTTGCATACCGGGGTTAACAGGGCATAAATAATAACAGTTACCACTTCCCTTGGTTCAGGCAGGTTACAATACTCCATTCTCACAGGAAGACCCACTTTCCCAAGAAGACTATCAGGGAGGTTAAACAACTCACCCAGCATCACAGAGCTGTGTGGGAGGGACAGAACTAAATGTAGGTCTTTTTGACTCTACAAGTTAGGCAGAGAGGTATAGTCCATTTCTACCACTCACCAGCTCTGTGACTGGCAGAAGGTGACCTAATCTCTTCTGGCCTCAGATCCTTATCCATAAAAGGGTAAAGGTAATATCTACCCATCACAAGGTTTTTCAAAGAATTAAATGAGAGAAAGTATGCCAGACGGACTGGCACTGAGTGGTGGCCTTAATTATTATTACTGTCCCAAGTACTATATCTCAGAGACCTTCTAGGATACACAGGAAGCACGTAATTCATCCACTTAATCAGTTTCTATGTCAGGCACTTTGTCAAGTCTTAGGACACAGTGTAGACAGAAGGTGACAGTGCAGGACCTGGTGAGACTGAAAATAATGGGTTAGAGTGAGCCTCAAGTTTTGGGCTTGAGAAGCTGGTTGGATGGTGGTATAGTCACCAAGAAGGGGACTTAGAGGAAGCCCCCTGTAAGAATGATAAGGGTTTTAGTTCTGAACAGCACAAGTGTCAGAAATGCAACTTGAGGTGCCAAATGGCAATTGGCTAAAAGGGTTAAGCTCAGAAGAGCAGCATGAGATGCAGACCTCCGGGCAGGGTTGCTGCCATAACCAACACTGTGGACACAGATGACATCTCAGGTACAGAGGAGAGGCTGAGCAAGGAGGGGCCAGGCCACACTGGATAAAGCTCCAACTTTCAAGGCTGCAGAGTTGAGAATGGGCATTCAAAGGAAAAGTGGGAGTAATGGCCAGAGAGCGGGGAGATGCCAGGAGAGGATGATGCTGTAGATGCTAAGGACTAGTGGCCAGCAGTGCCCACTGGGGCAAGGAGCCAAGGAACATGGTTTGAAAAATATCGGCTAGATTTATGGCAAAGGAGTTATTGACAGTTTTGGAGACAGCCACGTGCTTGCCATGAGGACCTGGTTGGAATGGGGTGCAGGAGTGTGTATGCCTAAGCTTAGAAGGTGGAGGAAGTGGGGTGCTGAAGGGACCAGAGTAGAAAGGGTTAAGATGAGGGAGTCTTAAAGCTTTTCAATGCTCATGAAAGGAACCCAAGAGAAAAGGAAAGGCTGAATATAATGGGGAGAGAGAGAGCGGATAATGAATAGTGTAAATGCCTTGAGCAAATGGAAGAGGATGAAATCCAGACTGCCTGCTTCTAGTAAACAGGAGGCAGGATGTGAGTGAGCGTGGAGACATCTGACAGTCTGAATGGAGGTGAGTGAAACCTACCGGCTGCCTCTCCTCTGCACAGTGAGGTGGGCGGCATGCTGGAGCCAGCATGCACTCCAAGAGTCTCAGCTCATCTCCCCGATTCAGTGGCCTCCTTGGTAACTTGAAATCAGCCATGGAAATGGAAAATCAGGGCTTTTTTCCCCACTAAGAGCCAGTTGTTAACATTAAACATCCCGCCACTGAGGGGAGGAAAGGCAGGGAAAGAGACTTTTAATCAACTCTGAGCTACCTAACAAATGTACTTAGCTGGGAATTCTAATACCTTTTTAAGCCAGTTTTTAAAAAATGATTTTAAACTATCATATGCTGAGTTAATTTTTTTTAATACTTGCATTTGAAAGACTAAACCTGTCCCTTTTGAAAGCTATTTTTGGCTTCAAATTCCAACCAAACTAAAACATCCATGTTATATAAGGCCGGTTGATTATACTTCTTTTGTGTCTGAAAATTTCCATAATAAAAAGGTAAAATAATACTGACAATAATGTGATACTAGCGCAGAATAAACAAAAAAGTTACTTCTTTACTAAGTGCTTTCCTGGAAATTTAGGGGTAGCAGAAAAATTTTGGGATAACAATTGCTTATGTAAGAAGAAAGCTAGCATCCCCCACCTCAGAGGGTTTATTCCTTTGTATGTCCTTGCCTTCATTTTAACATCTCAAAATACAGTATAAAACTTGTCTTTTTACATTTTCACACCTGCTTACTAGCCTATCAAACAATACCTGCTTCAGTAGGTGTTCTAATAAGGCTTGTTAAAGTAAGTATATTTTCTCACTTTATTAACAATCTAATGGTTCTAACTGCTTCAATATTTGTCCCTAAGAAATTTTAACTGAAAAAAAAAGTTAAGAATAGGCATTTCTATAAGAATTGGACTGATTAGACCACCACCACTAACTTGGAAGCATCTTTTGCCATGTATGACCATGCTTCACATACGGTCTGTTCTCCTGTGCCGAGGCCAGAGCCTCCAGTTTGCTTTTCTCTTACTCTCATGGCAGCAGCTGTTGAGTGATTTTGGGTGGAAGTGCAGAGGAGGTGAGGAGAAAGTGCTCTTGTTCAGTGCTTTGGTTCCTACAATAGGAACCTAATCATCTGAGCTGCTATGTCCTGTTGCCTTTTTTACTATCACAGGTAACTGAAAGAAAACATACTGGACAGGAATCCTTAGAATCAGCTCAAAAGTAGATTCTTTTCAGTAAATATTTCTTGTCAAGATGTCTGGGATTACACTTTTGTTGAGGGAAGACAGTGGAAATAATTAAAAGAATGCTGACGAAATTGAAACATTTGGTTATGGAATTGTGTGTTGTGTTAGAAGGTTTCTGTTTGTGAAATGTATTAAAAATAAAATTTCAGAAATTAACATAGTACAGAAAATCCTTGGAGAAAGGGGGAAAACTGTTAATTTTTTTTTTCAGATGTCCTAGAAAGAACAAATTATGTGGAGAGCAGAGACAGCTACATCCTTACCTCAGACCTACTGTTCCCAACTCTAATTGCATTTCAGAATCACGGAATTTTTAAAATATGTATGTATGGGTACTGTCTCAAACCTGCCAAATCCCAATCTCTGGATACTGGGACCAAATATACATTAACTATGCAATGTACTTCAAATAAGTTAAACTGTTTGAAACTCTAAACCCTGAGAAGTAGATTACCTCCATGTTGCAGATGAGGAAACTGAGGCTCAGAAAAGCTACATAACTTTCCCAAGATCATAGTTACTCCACAGACATAACCAGAACTAGGAGACTCCAAAGCTTACATTTTCTCTACTTCATAAGGCCGCTTCTCAAGAAACTATCACATTAAACTAATTTTTCTTTTCAATATAATGCCTGCCAATTAGTAATCATTCAAATATTGATGAAAAGAATAAGAAGCTACTCCCATAAACACTTACACTATTTAGTTCATCCACAGTAAGTCTTCTGAGAATAAATTCACAAATGCTCTCTGTAGTAGACATAAAAAAGTTCTGAAGAAGAGTCAACACCTCATCTGTATGGGAAAAAAATGTGCAACTGAAATGACAGAACTAAGTTATTTGGTACAAAATACACCAGATACTCTTGTGTAAGTACAACTATGTTAAGCATATGGGTGAATTATGTACTAAAAATAAATTAAGATCATATTGTAGTCATTAATACCATGGGGACATCTGCAATTAATCTTAAAAATCATTTGGGAATTTCAGTTCTGGATAAGATGGAACAGCAACATACCACCTTCTCTCACTGAATGCAGCTATACAGCTAGGATAGAGTATCTGAAGCAGCTGTTTGAAGACTCTGACAGGTAGAAAATGGAAGATGGATTCAGAAAGAAGAGACATGGAAGAGCAGTGAGCCAGCTCCGGTCCTGCAGACTGGAACCCATGCAGGAACAGTCAACAAAGTGGGGGTCAGAATAGGCCCTGACTTTCTTGTCAGAGAGTAAGAAAGAAGAATCCCAGAGAAGCAGACGATGAGGACTTAGGAGATTCTAAAGAAAAATAGCCCAGGAAAGTGGCTTATGAACTGCTGGGCTAACTCCAAGCTGCTATGCTATCTAATCAACACCAACCACTTTCAGAGCTGAACTAACAGAAAGACAACTGCCTGGGTCCCAGACTGGCCAATGGGTGGGATGCACGTGGCCAGACAAAACTGCAAAGGATTTGAACACAAAGCTGATAGTGGAGCCAAAGCCCATGAGAGCTGTAACATCAGGAATTAAGGCCCAAACTGAATCAGGCTGTCTATCTGCTAAACAAAAATATCAACATTTTCCACAGGCCTTAAACAACATCCAGAGTCTTATAACATAACATTCAAAATATCTAGGATACAATTCAAAAGAACTGGGCATATGGAGCATCAGGAAATTCCTATCTCACATGGGAAAAGACAATCTACAGATGACAACACAGAGATGATAATGTTAGAACAATCTGACAAAGCACTCCTATAAAAATGCTTCCAAAAAATCAAACACACTCTCAAAACAAATGGAAAATAGAAAATCTGCACAAAGAAACAGAAGATATACCAAAAATTCATGATTGAAAAATACAATAACTGAAAGTTTAAAAACTCACTGGATAGGATCACCAACAGAAAGGAGATGCAAGAGAAAACTCAGTGAACTTAAAAACAGGTCAATAAAATCTGCAATCAGACACAGTAAAACCAAGCTGCTGAAAACTATAAACAATGAACAATCTCAGAAGCAGAGAAACACAACATATTACTTAGGCAAAGAGCAATTTAAGTTACTTCAGAGTTTTAATGGGAAACCATGAAGGACAGAAGCAAGTAGAGCATTTTAAAAGTGCTGAAAGAGAAGCTCAAACCAGAATCTATAACCAGCAAAAATATCCTTCAGAAGGTGAAATAGACATTCTCTGATAAAGGAAAACTAAGAGAATTCATTGCCAATAAACCTGCTTTGAAAGAAATGCTAGATGTTTTTTAAACAAAAGGCTTATACTGTCACAGGAAAACATGGGAGCATCAGGGATCAAAGAATTAGGCAGGGAAACTGCAAATATCTAGGAAATATTCTTGGAAGTAGAAATACGCTCTTCTTCACTGGAGTTCTTTAACATTTGTTTGATGTTTGAAAGCAAAAATTAAACCATTGGTGGAGTTTTCAACAAATGCAAATACAAAACAATTATAACAGATGAGGGATGAAGGTCAAGGGATCTGAAAAGTGGGATATTTTCAAGGGACCTATAAGGGGGTATAGCTTCCACATTCATTTCAAGTGGCAAAATATTAATTCTAAACAGACTGTAAAAAGTTAAGTACACACATCATAATCCCTACGGCAATCACAAAAAACTTGGAATATCTTGTAAAAAACAGAACAGATAAAATGGAATATGAAATGGTGTTAAAAAAAATGTCATGAACTCTATTATAATTGACATTTATAAGATAACGATTCAACAATGCAGATTACATTCTTTTCATGTGTACATAAACAGTCACAAAGATAGACCATACCCTAGATCATGAAACAAACCTTAATGAATTTTTAAAAATTGAAATTGTACAAAGTATTCTGAGTAAAAGAGAATTAAATTAAAAAGCAATAACCACACACAGAGAACAGTAAAATCTCCAAATACATTTCTAAATAATTAATGGGTTAGTTCAAGAAAAGTTAGAAAATATTTTGAACTGAAAATATAATATACCAAAATTTGTAGGATGCAGGTAAAGCAATTAAACTTAAGAAAACTTCCAGCATTAGATGTCATTTTAAAAAAGATCTAAAATCAACAATCTGAGTTTCCATTTTAACTTTTTTAAAAAGGCAAATAGACCAAAAGCAAGTAGAAAGAAGAAAATAAAAAACAGAAATCAATAAAATTGAAAGGAGAAAAATCAGTGAAACCAAAAGCTTCTTTGAAAAGGCAAATAAAATTGATAAATCAGTAGCCAGTCTCTAAGAGGTAAACACACACAAGTCAATCACATTTCTGTAGACTAGCAATGCACAACTGAAAACCAAAATTTTAAATCAATGACAGCCTAAATAAATCGAGAGACATACTACATTTGTGGACTTAAAAGTCTCAGTTATAATAAAGAAGGCACTTTTCCATAAACTGACCTATAGATTTAATCTAATTCCAGTCAAACTTCCAGCCGAATTTTTCAAGTACCAACAGATGATTATAAAATTTATAATGGAAATGGAAAGGCAAAGGAACTAACTAGAATAGCTGGACATATTTTTGACAAAGAATAAATTGAAAGAACACCACATATTTAAAGACTGTAAATCTAAACTAACCAAAACAATGTGATACTGGCAAAGGGGTAAACACAGAGATCTACAGGTGACCACAGAGTCCAGAAATAGATACACACAAACACGGCCAACTAATTACTTTGAAACAACTTTACTGAGACATAATTCGCATAACACAATTCACCTGTTAAAAGTGTACAATTGACTGGTGTCTAGTGTAGTCACAGATACGTGTAACCATCACCATAGTCAATTTTAATTTTCATCACCACAAAGAGAAACCCCCTACCCTTTAGCTATCACCCTAGTCTACTTTCTGTCTCTATAGATTTGCCTATTCTGAACATTTCGTGTAAATGTTATAAATTTACATGCAGTCTTCTTTCACTTAATGTTCTCAGAGTTCATCCATGTTGTGGCATTGTTAGTACTTCATTCCTTTTTATGGTCAGTTATGGAAATACTACATACTGTTTATCCATGCATCTACCCATCTATTTTGGATTATTTCCACAGCCAATTAATTTTTGACAAAAATACAAACAGTTCAACAAATAAGCCTGGAGCCACTGAATATCCCCAGGCCAAGAGATGAACCTCAACCTAAACCTTAAGAACCTAACTCAAAGAAAAAAAGAAAAAAGAAAATCTTATGTTACTTGGGGTTAGGGCAAAGATTTCTTTTTTTTTAATTTTTTTAATTTTGATATCATTAATGTACAATTACTTGAACAACATTATGGTTACTAGACTCCCCCCATTATCACGTCCCCCCCACATACCCCATTACAGTCACTGTCCATCAGCGTAATAAGATGCTATAGAATCATTGCTTGTCTTCTCTGTATATACTGCCCGGCAAAGGTTTCTTAAACATAAAACCTAATGCACAATCCATAACACAAAATAAAAATAAATAAACTGGACTTCATCAAAATGAAAACTTTTGCTTTAAAAGACACTTAAGAGACTGAAAAGGCAAGCTACAGACTGGGAGAAAATATTTGTAAATCACATATCCAAAGGACTTGTATTTAGAATATACAATGAACTCTCATTATATACATTTCATACAAGAGTAGAAAACAAACAATTTAAAAATAGGCAAAAGATTTGAATGCTGCAAAACGCTGTATCTATCATTCTTAGAGATATTCTTTTTTAAAAAGATTACATACGCATTAAAAATTATAGCATTAATTTAGAATTTTTCTTATTTTCTGTTATAAAGGAGACAATACTATACAGCCTCTGAAGTCTCATGAGTCACTGGTTGGGTCAAGAAGCCACCAGTAGATGGTTGGAAAGTAAAGCTTTTTACTAAAAAAGTAAGAACTATAACCAATGAGTATGGTACAAACAGAATACTCTTCTTTTTCATATTCTCTGCCTTTTCTTTCTCCTATACATATTCAAATCTCAAAGCTCTATAAACAGTATAAAGAAATATTTTCTGCAGATACATTCAAATCCATTAGTTTATAATAAAGTTAATTTGAGATTACAAGGAAAGCTTAGGGACAGATAATAAAATGAAATGAAGAAATAGATGCTCTTAGGGTTTCCAGTATCATCATCACTGCCACGGTGCTTCCTGCCAATGAGCACAGCACAGAAAAACCCCTCATGCACTAGGACTCCCAGTCACTGCCACACGTTCATGTTTGACAGCCCATCACAATAGATAAACTGGGTACAACGGTTCAACCAGAATAGTGTTTACAGTTTCGTTTCCTACTTTGTGTGCCTCATACAATTGACAGTGGTAACCCGAATCCTAAAGTCAGGACTAGAATTGGTCAAAAAGTCATCGTAGTCAAAATCACAATGAGATACCACTTCACACCCATTAGAATGGCTACTATCAAAAATAGTAATAATAACAACAAGCATTGGTGAGGACGAGGACAAACTGAAACCTTGTGTTCTTCTGAATGGAATGTAAAATGGTGCAGCTGCTATGGAGGTTTCTCAAAATATTAAACATAGAATTACCACATGATGTAGCAATTACACTTCTGAGTATATATATATATATAGCAAAAGAACTGAAAGCAGGGACTTGAACAGGCATTTGTGCACCAATGTTCAGAACAGCATTCTTCAGAGCCAGAAAGTGGAAACAACCCAAATGTCCATCAACAGATGAGTGGATAAACAAAATAGGGCATATACATACAATGGAGTTATTACTGTATCTAGAAAGGAATGAAATTCTGCTACATGCTACAACCTGGATGAACCATGAAGACATTACATTAAATGAAATAAGCTCAAGGTAAGAGAACAAATATTGTATGATTCCACTTATGAGGTACTTAAAATAGTCAAATTCACAGAGACAGAAAGTATAACAATAGTTGCCCAGAGCTGTTGGGAAGGGAGATGAGCAGTTACTGTCTAACAGGGACACAGTTCCTATTTGGCGTGATGAACAAGTTCTGGAGATGGACGGTGGTGATGGTCACACAACACTGGGACTGCTTAATGCCACTGACTGAACACTTACAAATGGCTACAGTGTAAATTTTATGTTATGTATTTTCTTTTTAATTAAGGTATCACTGATATACAATCTTATGAAGGTCTCACATGAGCAACATTGTGGTTTCAACCTTCACCCATATTATCAAATTCCCCCCCACCCCATTTGTTATGTATTTTTTAACCACAATTTTTTTTTACAAAAAGCTACCTCAAGGAGAAAAATTCAAATAGACACAAGAGATTGATCAAGGCAGAAAATAAAAGCAACCCAGGAAAAAAGACTCAGCAAAGAGGATCATATCCACTATAGGGACCAGTTTAGCAAGTAGGACACAATTCAGCAAGTGTTATATTTAAGGCCAGTTACTTTGCTCCACATAAACCAATGTAACTAAAAGGAGAGCTATACTGTAACCAAAAATGTATTTCCTTAAATATAAAAATAAAGACTCAAGGCTCAAGTTATTTTGAATTTTTAAAAAAATAACCACTGAAACATCACTTTACATTCCTTCTTTATGTATATATATATATATATATATCACAAACTCAAGGAAAACACACAGCCATGCTCTCACTCTAACTTCATGATCACTAGCTTCAAGTGCACCTGAGGGCTTCACAGCAAGCCTACACTGCCCTAGTCCATTTACTAATGCCTTCCCAGACAAATACACTTCCTCCACCATTCTATTTCCTCTTTCACTAAGAAAATAGGATCAATTAGGAAAGAATTTCTGCAAACTCCTACACCCACCCTCTAACTGCATCGCCTCCCTATCGCATTCCCATCTAAGACCAGCCCCTCCACTTGTTCCAAGATCCCATGCACTTTGACCTCCTTAGATACCAGTAAGCAAATATCCTATTTACATCTTCAAATTTTCCCTCTGCTGAATCATTTCCATCAGCACATGTAAATTTTATGTTATGTATTTTCTTTTTTAATTAAAGTGTCACTGATATACAATCTTATGAACATTACATTATTATTTTCTCCATCTTAAGGCAATAAAACTTCTCTTATCCTACCAGCAACTGCCCCATTTCTCTGATCCCCTATACACAAAACCCCTTTAAAGAGCTCTCCATACTCAACATCGCTATTCCTCTCCATAAGCTGCCCCCACCACTGCCCCAAAACTGCATCTGTCATGGTCACTTATGTTGCCAAAACCAACGGTCACTTCCCAGTCCTTATTTTAGTTTATCAGCAGCATGTGCTGCAGTTACCACTCTTTCCTTCTGTAAATACGCTCTTCATTGGCTTCCAGGATATCACCTTCTCCTGGTTTTTCTCTTCTCTTGCAAATTCCTCATAAGTATCCTTTGCTACTTCCACTTCATCTCACCAACCACTAGACACTGGTTCTCCCTACGGTACTTGGACCTCTCTCCATCTCTCTTGCTCTCCTTGGTGTTCTCATCCAGTCTCATGGCTTTAATTATCTCCTAGATGCTAATGACTCCCAGATTTCTAACTAACTGGTAGTTCTCCCTCAACTCAAGTCTCAAAGTCAAATGTTAACTCAACAACTCCACTAGGTAGCTAAATGGTATCTCATACTCAAACCACCTGAAACCAACAGAGGGAGCTTTTAAAACAGAAGTTGTATCCTATTCACTCCTCAGCTCAAAACCCTCTAATGAGAGCTATACCATTAAAATGGCCTACAAAATCCTACACACAATCACCACTGCCCCTACTCATCTCCTATTATTCTTCACCTCACTGCACCGTATCCCCACTCCCTCAAACAGCGGGCTCTTACACTGGGCCTCTTCACTTACCACACCTTCCTGAACGACCTCCCCTGCATCTGTGGGGGTCTCCCTCCCTCAAGTCTTTGCCTAAATGTGGCCTTCACAGTGAGGCCTTCCCTGACTGACCAACCTAAAGAAAGCTGCAACCTTCAACTTCTACCCCAGGCACTCCCTGACCCCCTTTCCCTGCCTTGTTTTTCCCCATTACACATGTCAAGCTTTCATGTATTTTATCCGGTTACTGTTTATTATCTCTCTCCCCATCCCACTCTAGTCCCCACAACAGAAAGCAATCCCAACAAGGGGATATTTTCAAGGCTATATCCTAGTGCTCAAAACAGTGCTTGGCATATGCAGATGATCGATACATATCTGCTGAATTAATTCCCCAACATCAGATCAAATGTTTTCTGGTCTCCCCCCATTAAGCTCTAAACATCTTTGAAACTTGAGTATCAGCACAGTAATTGCCACAAATTAAATGGTGGGGAGAACATCTAACCATACACCCTCCACACAGATATCCTTCCTCTTGCTTCTTTCTGGCCCATGTGTCAAGGCTTCAGGTTCAAAATAAAAAAAAAAAGGAGGACAAATGGAAACCACAGTAGTTTGTAATCTCTCGAAACTTAAAATACAGAATGTTGAAGATATGTGATTGGTATATGGGGACTTATTATGGTATTTTTATCTTTAAAGATTTTGATAATGAAACATCAAAAATTAAATTTAAGAAATTTTAAGAAACAATAAGTCAAAGTTGCCTGAAACAGCAGTATACAGTTAGACCTCAATCTCATCCACTGACAGTAAGTATACCTAGATATTTCTGACTTTACCCCTTTATTTGTACATTGACCCTGGTACTGATAAACTTGTAGATTCTTTACTCATTTATAAAATGGAAATGCCTATTTCCTTCTTCCCTCATTAAAAAAATCTCTTCAGGGATAAGATCTATTAACAGTAATTAAACTTGATATGGCTTACCAGTCATATGGAAATCTACTGTTAACAAGATTAAATAGGTATTTCTTTGCCTCTTACTTGGTAATATAAAAAATTCATGAAAAGCAACACAAACTCTTACATTCTGCAAGTAAGAACATAAAGTATGTACACACTACTTGTAAAAACAATTTTTCATTATCTTATAACGCTTAGTATGCACATATACAAGAACCACTACCTACCCTGGTAAGACTCACACACAGGCCCAGAAGACATGCAGACACATGTTCATGGAAGCACTGTACATCATACGATGGAAGATTACACAACAGGGGAAATGATGAATTACAAGAAAGAACATGGTTGAATCTTATATACCTGGCAAGTAAACAAGAGTTACAGAAGACTTCTTACAGTAAAGTAACATTTCTATAAAGCTCTGAAGCAAGAAAACTAGATAGTGTATTGCTGAGGAATATCAATATATGTGGTAAAACCATTTTTAAAGTGTATGGAAGATAAAGTCAAAATAATGAGGAAAAAAGAAGGGGTTTGAGGAGTAATAGGTAAATTTCTTTTTAGGTTGGGTACTGAGTTCATGAGTGTTTATTCTGTATCATAACTTACATATAACCATCATTCTTGTGTTATCAAATATCATGGGAATTTTACAAATGGCATCCATGACCCAGTCCTGCACTTGAAAGCACTAAGTCCAGTGAAAACAGTCAAGACATAGCAAATGAACCCAAATTTATGCCCTTAAGGAACCAAAATATTATAAAAAGTTACTGTTTTGTGTACAGTATTTGGTTTTGCTACCACTATGAAAAACATCAGAACTGGAAAAATAGCTTTAATATTTCACAAGCATATGTAAAATTAATAATCTCACCAATGTTTAACCTAATTTTTAAATACCAAATTTCTAAAACTCCATATGACATTTCATTGGTCAAAAAGGATTGGGAATCAAGGCTTACTCTCCAATATTCTCAACTCTAATGTCCACGAGCTTTCCACTAGTCTTTTACATATACCTTAGTTTAAGGAGAGGAGAGCAGGCTTGGTACTTCTATCTACTACCACAATACTTTATGTATGAAGTATTTTCTACTTAAAAGGTGCTCAGAGATTAATATATTTAAAAACAAGTAATTATAAAATTACTGTCATTCTCATGCTTCAGCTTACTTTCTGACACATCTAGCATAATGGGAATTAGAAATGGATCTGCTTAAACACATATGAAATAGCAACCCTTTTTGATGGCCTGGAAATCAACAAGTGAGCATTAATTAAAAAATTAAATAAGAGCAAATGAAATCATATTATAAAATCAAAAGCAACTAGCAGATGTAAACACTAGAATGTCAGCTCCACCAGGGCAGGTTTGCTCTTTCACCAGCACCACCAAGAGATACTCAATAAATATTTGCTGATTGCATGAAATCATCCTTTTAAGAGATCAGAAATTTCCTCTCATTCTAAATACCAATATACCAAGTGAGACACCAACAGAAACTATTTATCCTTACCATCTTGGGTACTGAAACCTTTCAACAAGCAAGTGTGCAACAACTTCAGCAGCAACTGGAGGCATCTGTCAGTTTTCAGCAAGGGAATGTAGGCATTTGTACCAAACTTCATAAGAGCATCCAGGAGAGGATCTAAGAATATCCTTAACACATTCTGTGTTCTCCGCTTTTCACTAGGTATTAAAAGACATGCCCAAATCAAGCACTTCAAAAGCAGAAAGAAATTATTTTCCATCTATAATCTGGGAAGTTGGTTACCTAATGGACTCAATTAAACAAAATAGCTCTTATGGATGATCCAAACACATCACACCTATGGGGACTCTCAGTGACCGGTCAAGTCTGTGCCTTCTCAGTGAGTGTAGAGCTTCACTACAGAAGGAAGCACAGGGAAGAACACACTGGACTCAACTCAAGGCACTAGTATGAGGAAGTTCTGTATCCAATTTACTTGGAAATTAAAATATGAAGACCCTGCTTCAATAATTAAAAAACAAACAAACATAAACTAGTGATGGAATTGAGACGTTAGCAAAAAAATACAAAGAATTAAGGCTTTATGAAAAACTGTTATAACCAACTTTAGAACTAGAAAAGTACTCTCTTTGTCTAGGAAAGATATTTGATGTTAATCAAATGAACTGCATATCATTCAAATACACAACCTAATGAAGCTGCTTTTTTGCAGCAATTAAAATCTGGTGAGAACTGATCTGCTCACATTCTCAAAATATAAATTAGATCATTTTAACTCAATTACCTTTTTTCTTAATTACACATGATACAAAGGGGTCAAATTCAGTAAATTTACTTACCTAATCTTATGCTAGGATCTTTACAATCCATTCTTCTAATATTATTATATAAAACCAGTGATTATTGCATATAGTTTTTTTGACCTTCTTAATAGTTTGACTTACTATCTGAAAGGATTAGTAAGCCCCTATTCCTATTAATTTATTGTTAACTTTAAACATTTCTTTAGTAAATTTGCCAATGTTTCAGTTCCTTCCTTTAATACATTGTGACCAATTCCATACCAATCACAGAACAGTATGAGTAGACACTGTAAATCTGATAAGCCTTTTTTTAAAGCTTTAAGTTTAGAAACACTTACTTATATTGAATCTTCATTCCTTCCACATCTACAGCCAGCAAGACCATCATAGCAACAAGCTTGGCTTCAAACCAGTCAGGCATAAAGCAGTTTTCTCCTGCTAAAACAGGTTAAGGTTTGCAAAACATTAACAAAATCCTTCAAATATGATGTTTCAAAAACAAAACAGCTAAATGATTATGCTTATCAACATGAAATTATTAGAGAGAGCCAGCTGAGATAAAATATAGAACACCCTACAGCGTGGCTCATTGTTAAACACGAACGAAAGCAAATCTCTGCATGCCCACTACAGGCCATCCCCTGACCAAGGCGCTGCAGACTCAATGCTTCCTGTGCCCATAGAATTTACAGAGCAGTAGAGGAGAACAGCATCTTCCAAAGAATGACAAAACAAAACAGTCATTGCAGTGAGCAGCATAGATGGTGCTGAGGATATGCCGTCATCTGGGAGTAAGAGGAGGGACAACTGGGTTGTACATGAAGGTGGAGAAAGAATGAGATAGTAAGAAGGACAAGACGGTTCCAGAAAAAAAGGAGGGGCATGACAAAGATCCTCTGACAGGAGGGATTTTCACATTCCAGGAAACAGAAAGATGCCTGTGTGGCTTGGGTTCACAAAGACAGGAGAAAGGGGGTTACCAAAGATGAGGTCACAGAAACAGAACAGGGAGAGGCCAGGGCATTCTGTAGACCATGTAAAAGGATTTCAGTCCTCGCAAGAGGAAGCCACTGAAGATTAAAGGGAATGTATACCAAGAAGAGGAGGAAAAGAAAAACTTCATCAAAATTTGTATTTTAAAAAGATTTCTCCAGGTACAATATGGGATACAAGGGTAGATGCAAGGACACCGGCTAAGAGGCAATTCTAGTATTTCCGTTGAGAGAAGAGTTCCCTAAGTATAACCAGAAGGGATTTAATGGATACAGCCACAAAGGCTCTGGAGCCTCAGACCTGTGTCTGACCGCAGTCCTGCTCCCCGTGGGCTGTGGGCCTTGGGGCAATTGATTATTCTCTCAGAAAGCTTAGGTCATCTTTCATGAAATCAAAGTGACGAAACCTTGACTTTCCTTGGGTTTATTATAAAAATTAAATAATATAGGCAAAGTCCCTAGAACAAGTTTTGAAATAACTTGGTTAACAGATAAAATTAATGTTTTCCTATTTCTGAAAGCCTATTAAATTAAAATAATTCATGAATAGAGGATTTCTTTTTCATTCATGGTATATTACTATAGTAAGATTATACTTTTCACCTCACTCTCAAGAAAAATTTAGGTAAGAGATCTAGTTTTCCAGCTCAGTGGTTCAAATCCTTAAAACATTTTCTTAAACATTCTAAGATAGATAGGGATAATTTAACATATTTTGATACAAGTTTACTGGAATAGTACAGAAGACAGACAATACTAAAAACATATGCTTGCATGAAGGATGTCATTTAAAAATACAACCAAAGGATGAATTTTATAATATATTTTTAATGCTATAAATCCCATTTGGTTGCCAGCAATAAAAAATCTGCTTCCACTTTTTAAAAAAATCTAAATGTTGGTGCTACCCAGAAAAAATTAGGTTACTTTTATAGGTATGAATAGGTGAGTTACTGAAACTTGTTCCCTCAAAATATTTACTCACATTAATGCTTTGTATCTCACAATTATGTTAAAAATTCATTCATAAATGAAGACTAAATTGAAATCAAAGGCTAACACTATTCAGTTCTCTATAGTTTCATTAGCAGTCAAATAATCAGATACGTTTTGAACTAGTGGAAGGTGGAGGGGTGGCTACTGGAGAATGAAATGTTTCCAATTCCAGTAGCTGAAGCACCCTTTATACAGCATGTGAGCTGGAGGCCTTCAAGCATAAACACCACATATTTTGGTATAGATGGCACACATATTAGGGGTCTTCAAAGTGACTAACCAGACAGCTCTCACTTGCCTCAAGCAAAATTCCAATCGCACAGTTCTGGAAGAACTCTGAGATCCTTTCTGAAATCCTAAGCAATTTTTCACCTTGGATACTGAAAGGGAAGGTTATAAATCAGAAGTTTAGTGGTTTTTAACAATTTCTGATTTCAAGGAGCGCCACAGTAGCAGGCTGGTAACAAAAGTGCCTCACCTCTCAGCAGAGGCCACACTCCTGCAAGGATTTTTGTTGTAGATTGCTTCCTGAGTTCTTAGGGCACCATAACGCCATGCTATAGATCAGGGGGTCTCAAAACATCAGCTTGTCTAGCATCACCTGGAGCGCTCGTTAAAACAGAAGGTGGGCCCCACACCCAGAGTTTCTGATTTAATAGGTTTGGGGTAGAGCCTGAGAATTTCTATTTCTAATGCCTTTCCAGGTGGTGCTGATGTTGCTGGTCTAGAAACTATGGTCTGTGAATCACTGGCACAGAATTCCTTATTTACTCTCCCTTTTCACATTGAAGCTAGAAAAGTAGAAGCAACAGTGGTTTTAAAGAAACAAAAGAATCACTGATTATTATTAATCACCTTAATGCAATTTAACACTGAATCATAGTCAAATCTTGCTACTGTAAATTTTAAAAACTTAGTGTATTTCAAGAAAATGCAAACTCATTTCCAGTGTCAGAAAGTATCTCAGGGCTTGTCTGGGAATGGAGGAGGAACAGGTAGATGGGAGAAACAGGGATCACAAAGAGGCAGGGAAACACCTTTGGGGGTTACAGTCTGTTCACACACTGATGACTTCATGAGCATATACACAGGCAATCCATCACATTATACAGCTGAACTATGTACTGTTTAATAAATGCAATTACACATCAAAGCTGTTTTTAAAACTTGTTTTTACAGCTGCAACATACTACTCTGGGGTTATTGCATATCTTTAGATTTCCTGGTTACATTCTAAGTAGGCACATTATTTAAGTATAAAATCTTTACACAAAAAATCCTTTCTGATGGACTGCCTGATTTAAGTATAAATTTCTTTAAATATATTTCACCCCCTGGTTGATTTTGGTACCCCAAGCTCTGACAAGCCCTTACTGTTGTTTCGAAACAGTGTTTCATTTTCTGTAATTCAGAAAGTCTACTCTGGAAGCTCTTTAATATTTTTGCTTGTTGATGATGTTGGTTTTGTGTGGTTTTTGTTGTTGACTGTTTTGTTGCCTTATCAGTCATATATATGATGTGGTACATATCCATATCTACCTACTCGTATCCACCCTTATCCTTCACCTGATAGATAGGCAGACAGGACAGCTGGATGGACACCTACCTACATGCGGTTCCCTGGATGCACATTCATTCAAACCTTGTGGGATATTCTTTCCCACTTTTCACCCTATTTCCTAGTCACTCATCAAATAGCACTCTCTGGTGACCTCCTCAAGCCCTGCAGGTCTGCCTGTTCTGGACAGGTACAGCTCACACAGGTCCTCCATCCCAGGGCTTACGTCTTTCAAGGCATTGTGCTAGGTTTATCTGTTTTACTTATCAGCTCCATTACTACATTATGCTTTCTCTAAGGGCAGGGGATATATTTTTTATCTTTGTAACTGCAATGCCTGGCTCTTAGAAAACATCTTATATATGCTTTATGAATAAATAGCGTAAAATCTATCTGTACTATCTCAAAACCCAAAGAAAAAGCTACTTTACATGTAGACTCTAAGTGAAAATGGTGGTTTGGCTGATGAGTCTTTATTTAAAAACGTATTTGAATATTTCAAGTATCTATCTTATGGTCAAAAGTGCAAGTGTAATAATAGCGTTTGCTTTGTGATTTATTAACTTGTTCTAAAAACTGCCAATCGGTAACTGAACTAAAACTGTATAAAGGCACTTAGCTAAGGGCATTAAAAATCAAACAAAAATATTAAACACACACATATAAATGCCTTCTTTGCACTTGAAATCAAGCTTTAAATTTCTTATAAACTTAAAATAGCATACATTAAATTGTATATTTGAAGTCCTAGAAATATTAAGAAATTCTTAAAATATTTTTTCATCCAATTTTGAATATTCCATCAAATCTGATGCTATTTTATACTCTGAATTATAAGGCAAGTTTTATAGATATTTTGGGAGTTTAATTTATGATTACTCTGGTAGGGACTAAAATTTATTTACTTTTATAGGCTTAACAAAACCATCATCCATGTAATAGCACTGAAAACTTACACAATAGAGAGAATACAACACAAAAGAGAAATGTTCTAAGAAGGAAGAACAGATAAACTCATGTATTTTGGAAGGATAATTATTTGATCATTTAAGACCTATTCTATGATCAGATTAGAGAAATCAGTAGATGAAAATGACTCAATCTGATACAAAGCTAGGAAATTAAGACACGTTAAATTCAAAGATGCAATTTACCCAAATTATCACTAATGACTTTAATGAAGAGGAAGCATTAGACATGTAAAAGAATCCATATTAATGAATCTGTTAATCATTCTTCCTTCATGCAGTCTTACATATTTCCCTAAAGAAGTTGCAAAATTGATCTTTGCCAAGTATCTGGTAAAAAGAAAAAACAAAACCACCCTTTCAAGCATTTCTCTCTAAAATTATTTTTCATAAACAGTTCACAATAAATGTAATGCCTTAAAAAAAACAAAAGATGAACAGATTCATCTACAAAAATTTTTGGAGAACAGAGGCTCTGAAAACACATCTGTAATAACTGACCCTCAAAGATTCAGTAACTGTAGAATAATTTAATAAGCTTATTTGTGTCCACCTGCTGTTCCAGCAACTTACTATTTCTTAAAAACATAACAAATAGCTTAAAATCTCAAGTCTTAGAACAGATAAAGTACAGGTTAGGAGACAGTATTTTTACGTTCTGTTATTCAGATTATCTGGCTGAAATACAAGTTTGACATCAGTAAATCAGCACACATTTGGTTAAACTTAAATCTTGATCTAAGAAACTAGCAAAAAGTTCTTTGAAAATATTTTGGTTATGTCAACCCATAAAATGATTTCATACTTACTTTCCCAAGTAGGTGACTTAATATACTCCTGAACTAGGTTCTTTACATAAGCATTTAAAGAAGATGTCTCATGAAGTCCAACGGAGCTACAAGTTGAGGAGCCCCTAAAACAGCTTTCATTAACATGTAACCAATCACAGAGCTAGAAAAGAAAACAGTTATTACTTTATTTTAAAAACCTAACTAAACAAACGGTTTCTAATTTCCCTAAGCCCATTCTTTCTTCCACAAACTGAATTTAAATGACTGAACACAACAAACTAATAAAATATTTGTTATGATTGAGTCCCACAGATAGTGCAGACAGAAAAAAATGCATACATGCATATATATGTATGCATGGGTGTATATGTATGTATGTGTATGTGTATATATACATGCACATGTATGTGTGGCTATGCGTTATCTAATCTTCCTCAAAGAATGTACAAACTTCATTAATAGGCAAGAATTTTTAAAGTATCTACTATGAAATGCACATGTTGATAAGAACATCTCTGTGAAAAATAACACACCATGTAAAACAAATCACAACCTTAAATCAAAATTCTTTACAGTTTCATATACTAAAACAAGAACATGTTTACTTTTCAAAGAATGTAGGATTTGAAGTATAAGTTATAATTAAAGTTCCTACCCTTCTTACAAGTTTATTTTCTCTCATATGTATACTTTAAAAGACAGCTGACCTTTGAATAACATGGGGTTAGGAGCACCAATCCTCTGTGCAGTCAAAAATCCACTTGTGCCTCACCAAAAATTTTTCTACTAATAGCCTCCTGTTGACCAGAAGCCTTACTGATAACATTAACAGTCGATTAACAAATATTTGTATATTGTATATACTGTATTCTTACAATAAAGTTAAAGAAAATATTTTTTCAAATTGTCTCAAGTCTCCAAAATATTTTCCAACATATTTACTGAAAAAAAAAAATCTGCATATAAGTGGACCCATGCAGTTCACATCTATGTTGTTCAAGGGTCAACTATATATAATTTAAGAGAGAAATAATGTCTTAGTCTTTTTCCATTATATCTCTCAGAAAATCTGCAAAACTGAAAGTCACAGAATTTCAGAGAATTCATCTTTGATCAGATATAACTGTGAATTTTGCTTTGAAATTGAACTGTGTTCTCAGTTTTCTTTTTACATAATATCTCAATGTGCAATATCAACACATGAATTTAATAATGAATAATAATTATGAAATGAGTCTTCCTAAATATGAATTTTTTTGAACTATTTTTTGCATTCATTAAAGTCACCCAAAAGTACATATAAGGACATGAAATAATAATACATCACTCAACCAAAGACAAAATTGATGAATGAATGAATGAATCGGTCAAAACTAAAACTGACATACTTTTAAGTACCAATGAATAAGCAGTTCAGTAACACTAAAGGAAGTTGTTCTGTGTAAATCTTTAACAAGTAGGATAATATTAAAATAACAGTGAAGTCAGCCAGCATTTATCTTTCGACTGTATATGCTTTTCCTTTATATTCCTCTCAAACCAGCCAAACTAAGTTTCTTAATTATTGCTATAAAAATGTGCAAGGTTTTCCAAATATATTTCCACAATCATAACCCTACTTTAACAAAATTATTGACAAGTAAACTCAAAATCCTATTTGACTTTTTTCCTGAAATCTGTCACAAAATTTTTCCCTTCAAAGAGTTTTCATGTCAGACGTATGGTTTAAAATAGCATCTACCTATCAGTCTCTCATACTAAAATATAAGTCTCAAAAGTCTATTTGGATACTGTCAAGAGAATGAGAAGACAAGCTACATACAGGGAGAGATTATTTGCAAAAGACACATGTGATGAAGGACTAGTATCCAAAATACACAAAGAACTCTTAAAACTTAACAATAAGAAAACAACCCAATTTTTTAAAATAAGCAAAAGATCTGAACAAACACCTAACCAAAAGAGATACACAGAGAGCAAAGAGCACATGAAAAGATGCTCAACATCACATGTCATTAGAGAATTACAACTTAAAACAATGAGCTACTACATGACTATGGGAATGGCTAAAATCCAAAACAATGACAACACCAAATGCTGACAAGGAGTGAGGCAACAGGAACTCTCATTCACTGCTGGTGGAAATACAAAATGGTTTGGCCACTTTGACAGATAATTTGGCAGTTTCTTAAAAAACTAAACATATTCTAACCATACAGTCCAGCACCTGTGCTGCTTGGTATTTACTCAAATGAGTTGAAAAGTTATGTCCACACAAAAATCTGTACATAAATGCTTGTAACAGCTTTATTCATAATTCCCAGAACTTAAAAGCAATCAAGACATCCTTCAGTGGGTGAATGGATAAACTGTGGTACATCCAGACAATGGAGTATTATTCAGTGATAAAAAGACATGAGCTACAGTGAAATAAGCCAGGTGGAGAAAGACAAGTACCAAATGATTTCCCTCATTTGTGGAGTATAACGATGAAGCAACTGAGGAACAAAACCACCAAAATGTCAGGCTTGAGCAAGTGGGTACATGAAAGTGTCATTTAAGTCTCACAGACTCCAAGAAGGGACTAGCAGTTATCAAAGGGGAGGGGACGGGGGAGGGTGGTGAGGGAGGGAGAAGGGGATTGAGGGGTATTATGATTGGCACACATGGTGTAGGGGGGGTGGTCAGGGGGAAGACAGTGCAGCATAGAGAAGACAAGTAGTGACTCTGTGGCATCTTGCTACACTGATGGACAGTGGCTGCAATGGGGTATGGTGGGGGCTTGATGATATGGGTGAATGTAGTAACCACAATGTTTTTCATGTGAAACCTTCATAAGAGGTATCATTGATACCTTCATAAGGTATAGGTATCAATGATAGCTTAATAAAAAAAAAAAAAAAGAAAAAAGAAATGAGCCTTTAAGCCATGAAAAGACACGGATGAACCTTAAAGGCACATTACTTAGTGAAAAAAGCTAATCTGAAAAGGCTACATACTGTATGATTCCAACTATATGACATTCTGAAAAAGGGAAAACTAAAGAGACAATGAAAAATCAGTGGTTGCCAGAGTTTGGGAGGTGGGAGGGATAACTAGGTGGAGCACATGGGATTTTTAGGGAGTAAAACTCTTCTGCAGGGCACTGTACTGGTTGACACATGTCATTATACATTTGTCAAAGCCCATAAAGTATGCGAGTCCTAATGTAAATTATAAACACTAGTTAATGATAATATATCAATAGTGGCTCATCAATTGTAATAGGGTCATTTGGGGGTGATGGGGAGAATGGTGAGGGAGGATATGGGAACTCTGTACTTTGTTCCATTTCTCTATAAATCTAAAACTGCTCTAAAAAAATTAAGTTTTTTAATTTAAAAATTATTTAGGTTGAGCTATGTGATACTGCCATTTCTATAGGTTGAATAATGACTGAGTATCATTGATTTCATGTGACTCATAGAGATTCACACAATAATGAGGACAACATATGGAAGTTATAAAATATAGCCAACATATGGAAGTTATAAAATACAGATACATACACATACATATATGTGTTTTTATTATTAAACAAACAAAAGGAATTAAAAATTGAGTTCAACTATAAATACCAGGCCATAAGCTTCCTGAGGACAGTGGTCATGTTTATTTTCCTGACCACTGTATTCCCAACACTTAGTAAGAGCCTGGCATGTGGAAGGTGTGCAATAAATAGTTTCAGTCAATGAAGGCATTAAGAGACAAGCAAAGCATACTATGAAAAAATAAAAGAAGAAAAAAGATGAAAACATATATTAATGAATTAAGGAACTGAAAAATTAAATGGGACAAATAAAGAACTCTGAGGGTTGGCTATTTTAAAACAATAAACAAACATCTGGCTAAGAACAGTAATATATATTTACACTTACCATAGTCTGAAACATTTTACATGCATTTCTCATTTAAACCTCCCAGTTCATACCATACACCAAAAAAATTCTAGATGGATTGACCACAAGTTATAAACAACACATATCAATACAATGACTACATCTTATTTGAATACTCAAAGAAAACTGAATATTTGGACAAAGAAAATGCAAGAACAAACAAGAGTGCATTTATCAGACATCTGGAGAAATTTAAACACTGAATATTTGAAATCAAGACATTATTGTTGACATTTTGAGGTATAAGGGCCTATTTTACACAGTGCAAGCTGATTTATCCTGTTATTCTCTATGCATACACAGCCAGAATTGCCTTCTAAAAGAATAATCACATCCCTAGCTTGAGTGATCTCTTAGGCAGTGAGGAAATACAAAATTAAAAGAAAAAAAAAAAAAAAGCCCGTCTTCAAAAATATGTACTCTATAGAGGACACAGCTTAGAATTTAACCAAGTATCTGACGCATAAGGGTGAAAATCAACAATATGAACTGAGTACCATGGCTTAAAACAAAACACGAAGGAAGAGGAAGCTGACTGCAGAAGAGCCCCAGTGTCAGACCATACTCGCCTCCAAGGTTCTGACACGAGGGTTGGGGCAGGGCGAGGTCCCAGTTACCAACACGAAAGAAGCCACAACAGTGGAAGCAGCACTAAGGGAGGGTCTCCGCTGGCTGGAGAAAAGGAAGGACATCTAGGATTTCATGATGAATTAGATGCATAAGGTCAGGAAGAATTAAGAATCACCAAAATGTCAGGGTTGAGCAAGTGGGTACATGAAAGTGTCATTAACAGGTAGAAAAAAATGAAAGAGGAGCTCTGTGTTACTGCCTGTTTTTGAGTCTAATATCATCACTATTCCTAATGGGGCTCATCTAGAATTGAGATCTGTCCACTTCCCAATAGGTCTATTTCTGTTTCAAACGTCTTCCTGTCTCCCATTTCTCCCTAAGAACCTTGGCGGCATTATTCTTAAATCTGCTCAAAGCAAGTATACAATGCTTTAAAATCTCTGTTGATATGTAACGAACCAATCATACATTTTAATAAATGGCTATTATGGAATTCAGTTAGAAAACAATTTTTTTTTAAGTTTTCAAAGACCTTATCACTATTTTCAGACTCACCTCTGTCCACAACGAAGTTCCTCGTGCTAAGGACTCCTCTTGTCTCAGAGACATGAGAAAAGCTGAGACTTCAGAAAATGACACTTTCTCCTGGGGGAAATTTTTAAAAATTACTTAGTAAAAAAATTGTAATTGAATAAAATGAAATCACTAAAAAGCAAGCTAGTATACTATTTAAAGTAGACTGTTATTAGTTAAATCAAAAGAAAACTATTTTTTAAGAAAAAATTATGCAACTTTTAAAATGAAGATATCGACTACACGTAACCAGTACAATGTATAAAATGAAAAATTATTTTATAAATCTATTTCTTTAAATCAAAATTACTATCTTAAAGAAAAGATGGCCACTACCCAAAATCAAAAACAAAAACATTCTATAAGAAATTACAAAAAGTGGCACAGTCTCCGTGCAGACCCCCACCCTCGCCGCCCAGTGGCACCTCTCCACCTCTGACTCCACCAGCTCATGCGTGGAGCCACAAGTGGCAGCGCCTGCCGAGACCCAAGCGTCCCAGGAGGGAGGGCGAGGTGGTGGCGATGACACTGGGGCGAGAGGCCAGGGGCGAGGAGAGGCCCCAGAGCCCATGCCCTCCTGGGGCCAGATCCTGCGCATGCCCTGGGTGGGCCTGAGCAGCGGGCAGGGCCGCAGGGGCGGAGCCAAGGTGGCGGTGTGAGTAGAGCAGTAGAAATCTCCTCCCAAAACTATATATATTTTTGAAAATACAACAACTACAACTATTCCTAAGAGAGACCAGAAGACACAGGACAACAACCAGACTACACCTACACCTGTGAGAACCCAGTACTTCACAAAGGGGGTAAGATACAAGCTGCAGCCCGGTGGGACCCGAGCACCCCTCACACCAGCTCCCTGGCAGGAGGATATGAGTTGGAGTGGGGAGGGAGAGGGAGCCCAGGACTGCTAAATACCCAGCCCTAGCCATCCGCACTGGAGTGCAGACACACAGTGCGTGGGGTGCTGGGTACTAGGGAAACAGGACAGTAAGACCTGTGAGCGGGTCCCCACAGCTGGTGCTCCTGGGACATAAGAAAAGTGAGTGCTCTTTGAAAATCTTAAAGGGACAGGGGCCTCACAGCTGGACGGAATCGCCCTGGCACAATCAGCCCAGTAACTGGGAATCCTGGAGAACTCCAGGGGCCTCAAACCCCTGGGCGGCAGTGCAGCTCGGAGGCCCCTCACGGTGATAAACAACCTCCCACCAATTCCCCCTCCAGCGTGACTCCACCATAGCAACAGTGGCCACGCCCACAGCAACCGGGCAGAGCTTCCTCCACAGTGGCCAGGCAAGAACCAGAGACCCCGTCTGTGCGCAGCTGCCCAGCACAAGCCGCTAGGGGTTGCTGTTCTCCCAGGAGAGGAAGGCCACAACTAGCAAGAAGGGACACTCTCCCAGTCGACACATGCACCAGCTCCCCACAACTACCTCTATCACCATGAAAAGGCAGAAGAATTTGATCCAGACCAAAATAACAGAGAAGGAGATAGACCTAACCGATCTTCCAGAAAAAGAATTCAAAATAAAGATCATAACCATGTCATGGATCTTCAGAGAAATATGCAAGAGCTAAGGGATGAAGTCCAGAAGGAGATTAGAGAAATGAAACAATTTCTGGAAGAACTTAAGAGCAGACTAGATGGGGTGCAAGAGGTCGTTAATGGAATAGAAATCAGAGAACAAGAATATAGAGAAGTTGATGCAGAGAGAGACAAAAGGATCTCCAGGAATGAAACAATATTAAGAGAACTGTGTGACCAATCCAAAAGGAACAATATCCACAGTAGAGGAGTACCAGAAGAAGAAGAGAGAGAAAAAGGGATAGAAAGTGTATTTGAAGAAATAATTCCTGAAACTTGCCCAAACTGGGGGAGGAAATAATCGCTCAGACCACGGACGTACACAGACCTCCCAACAGAAGGGACCCAAGGAGGAAAACACCAAGACACATAATAATTAAAATGGCAAAGATCAAGGACAAGGAAAGAGTTTAAAGGTCACCTACAAAGGAAAAGCCAGCAGGCTATCATCAGACTTCTCAATAGAAACCTTACAGGCCAGAAGAGAATGGCATGATATATTTAATGCAATGAAACAGAAGGGCCTTGAACCAAGAATACTGTATCCAGCATGATTATCATTTAAATATTAAGGAGGGATTAAACAATTCCCAGACAAGTAAAAGTTGAGGGAATTTGCCTCTCACAAACCACCTCCTACAGGGTATTATAGAGGGACTGCTCTAGATGGGAGCACTCCTAAGGCTAAATAGATGTCACCAGAGAAAATAAAATCACAGAAAAGAAAGCAGACCAACCAAATAGTAACTAAAGGCAAAAAATAAAATCAACTACCCACAAAAGCAGTCAAAGGAAACACAAAAGAGCACAGAATGAAACAATCAACATATAAAGAATGGAGGAGAAGGAATAAGAAGGGAGAGAAACAAAGAATCACCAGACAGTGTTTATAATAGCTCAATAAGCAAGTTAAGTTAGACAGTAAGATACTAAAGAAGCTAACCTTGAACCTTTGGTAACCACAAATCTAAAGACTGCAATGGCAATAAGTACATATCTTTCAATAAGCACCCTAAATGTAAATGGACTGAATGCACCAATCAAAAGACACAGAGTAATAGAATGGATAAAAAAGCAAGAACCATCTATATACTGCTTATAAGAGACTCACTTCAAATCCAAAGACATGCACAGACTAAAAGTCAAACGATGGAAAAAGATATTTCAAGCAAACAACAGGGAGAAAAAAGCAAGTGTTGCAGTACTAGTATCAGACAAAATAGACTTCAAAACACAGAAAGTAACAAGAGATAAAGAAGGACATTACATAAAGATAAAGGGCTCAGTCCAACAAGAGGATATAACCATTATAAATATATATGCACCCAACACAGGGGCACCAGCATATGTGAAACAAATACTAACAGAATTAAAGGACAAAATAGAATGCAATGCATTCATTTTAGGAGACTTCAACACACCACTCACTCCAAAGGATAGATCCACTAGACAGAAAATAAGTAAGGACACAGAGGCATTAAACAACACACTAGAACAGATGGACCTAATACAGATCTATAGAACTCTACATCCAAAAGCAACAGGATACACATTCTTCTCAAGTGCACATGGAATATTCTACAGAATAGACCACATACTAGGCCACAAAAAGAGCCTCAGTAAATTCAAAAAGACTGAAATCCTACCAATCAACGTTTCAGACCACAAAGGTATGAAACTAGAAATAAATTGTACAAAGAAACCAAAAAGGTTCATAAACACATGGAGGCTTAACAACATGCTCCTAAATAAGCAATGGATCAATGAACAAATTAAAATAAAGATCAAGCAATACATGGAAACAAGTAACAACAACAACACAAAGCCCCAGCTTCTTTGGGACACAGCGAAAGCAGTTTTAAGAGGAAAGTGTATAGCAATACAGGCATACTTAAAGAAGGAAGAACAATCCAAAATGAATAGTTTAATGTCACAATTATCAAAATTGGAAAAAGAAGAACAAATGCGGACTAAAGTCAGAAGAAGGAGGGACATAATAAAGATCAGAGAAGAAATAAATAAAATTGAGAAGAATAAAACAATACAAAAAAATCAATGAAACCCAGAGCTGGTTCTTTGAGAAAATAAACAAAATAGATAAGCCTCTAGTCAGACTTATTAAAAGAAAAAGAGAATCAACACACATCAACAGAATCAGAAACAAGAAAGTAAAAATCACAATGGATCCCACAGAAATACAGAGAATTATTACAGAATATTATGAATACCTATATGCTAACAAGCTGAAAAACCTAGAAGAAATGGACTTCCTAGAAAAATACAACCTTCTAAGACTGACCAAGGAAGAAACACAAAAATTAAACAAACCAATTAGAAGCAAAGAAATTAAAGTGGTAATCAAAAAACTACCCAAGAACAAAACCCCTGGGCCAGATGGATTTACCTCGGAATTTTATCAGACATACAGAGAAGACATAATACCCATTCTCCTTAAAGTTTTCCAAAAAATAGAAGAGAAGGGCATACTTCCAAACTCATTCTATGAAGCCAACATCACCCTAATACCAAAACCTGGCAAAGACCCCAACAAAACAGAAAATTACAGATGAATATCCCTCATGAACAAAGATGCAAAAATACTCAACAAAATATTAGCAAACTGAATTCAAAAATATATCAAAAGGATCATAAACTACGACCAAGTGGGATTCATCCCAGGAATGCAAGGATGTTACAACATTCGAAAATCCATCAACATCATCCACCACATAAACAAAAAGAAGGACAAAAACCACATGATCATCTCCATAGATGCTGAAAAAGCATTTGACAAAATTCAACATCCATTCATGATAAAAACTCTCAGCAAAATGGGTATAGAGGGCAAGTACCTCAACATAATAAAGGCCATATATGATAAACCCACAGCCAGCATTATACTGAACAGCGAGAAGCTGAAAGCATTTCCTCTGAGATCGGGAACCAGACAGGGATGCCCACTCTCCCCACTGTTATTTAACATAGTACTGGAGGTCCTAGCCACGGCAATCAGACAAAACAAAGAAATACAAGGAATCCAGATTGGTAAAGAAGAAGTTAAACTGTCACTATTTGCAGATGATATGATACTGTACATAAAAAACCCTAAAGACTCCACTCCAAAACTACTAGAACTGATATC